TCATAATTCTGCATTTTCCTACTTGTCTTGTTCTCTGTGTATGGAGTATCCTGCATTCACCTTCCCTCTTCCTCTCCTCATTCATTTATCTCCAGCTCAGTACCTTGTTATGTACTCCCTACTTCCCACCTGTGCCCTAAAATAGAGATGACCCTCACCCTTTTACAGAGGTGATGTCTGTAAACTAGATACCTAAGGTCCTACTGCTGTCAGTGGGAAGCTCAGCCATACAGCTAATGGACTCTGCAGAGCCAGTCAGCTCGCATTTGGTCAGCTGAATCGCTCTCTGGACTCCACTAGCTGTGCCGATTAGCCCTCCATATTGGGGTAGGATTAGTACAAGGATGGCCACATCCTCAGTTGGTGATGATGTATGAAATGTCTTTAAAAAAGGGAGGTGACTGAAAGCCATTTTAAATACAAATGCTGCCAAGCCACCAAAGGATGACCAAACAGGACGTTGAGGACTCGCAGCACTTGTGTGCCTTCAATAGAAGACAGCAGCAATGCCTGTTAGCTAGTTTTTGAAAATAATTGTCCTTTAGGAACACAATCAATTCAAGCTTGCTTGAGTTCAGCTGCAGTGAGCTACGTTTTGCCCAAGAAGAGCATTTCCAATGCGTTCAGACGTTTCAGGATGACTGCAAGGACTGGGAAGTAGACGCTAAAGTGTCACTGGCATACTGTTGGTTGCCTATCCTAGCGTGCTGTTTGTGGCTAGTTTGGGGCACATCAGTATCTCTCACTATCTCATATAGATTTAAAGATAGGCAGAGATTTAAACTTTATAAAGAAACACTACTTCACATTCAGTGAACCCAAACCCCGCAATGTCAGGCTAGTTAACCTGCCTAGATAGTGCTATAAAACTGAAATTGCTGACCCCAGTGATGAAATAGACCTTTAGACATCTATTAAATCAGCTGTGTGCAGTACATGGTGAAAACGGAATCAGATTTCTTTCAATTCATGCAGATCCATTGATGTTTGGTGTTAATAACAAACTACTCTAGCAACTCATTAAATATTAGGAAGAAAATCAATTATTCTAAGACAATTGACAATGATATAGACAAGTTTAAAATAATCTTGCTGGAGCTACTGGTAGATGTTTGATGTTGTTGCAAGTAAAGAATCATAGTTTAGATGAGAATTCAAAGTAGTTTTCTTCAAAGGATTAAAAAGGAGTTCATAAACCTAGGTAGAAGATTTGTTCAGCCATTGGCTGCTGCTGTACCTCCTCCTTTGCTCTGCTCGCGTTCATAGGAGGAATAGACACTCCACCCAAACTTTCTTCCTACTTCTGCCTGAAGATCAAATACACAGATCGAATACACAGTTATTAACACATCTAAGGACTGAAGACATTCAAGCCTGAAAAATTCTCTGGCAAGTTTCTTTTTCCAATTTTTTTTTTTAAATTTCATGGGTCAGTACACAGCCACCAACCTGACTTCTTGACCTGCTCGACAGAATCTATACAAAAACAGGTGTGAGTAGACATGAAAACGAACTGAAATACTTGTGGCAATGCTTGCTGTTGAGATTGAAGTGTTTCTTTTTCTTTTCTGACTGATATTTATAATTGAGATGATTTCTGTAGCCTCCCCTTAAGCAGAACTTTCCTCTAATTGAATTCCGGCGCTCTGAAGGTTATGGCTAACAACTTGTGACTTCCTTGGGAGAAATTCAGGAATGAATAACTAGTTATCGTAAAACTATATGATAGGTAGTAGACTTAACTAGATCAACTTAAATTATTAAAGTCTAACAACCCTTGTTTAATGATCTGTCTGGTTCAGGTTATTTATCAGCATCAAACTTCAATGTACAGCAAAGAACTCTGAAAGTAAAAAGTTCTAGGAAGGAAATACAGAAGAGCTCTGCAAATATTTTTGTGAGTATCAGTTTGTAGCAGACATGCTATTTCTAATTATTCTGTTGCTAGTGATGGTTAAAATAAGTACGCCTAAGGAGTGTCAGCAAGACTTTCTGTTTATTTTCTTTAAGAAAGAAGGGTTGGATCCTATACGCTGTCTTCAGTGGGAACTATCATACTCTCTCCTCTTTCTCATCACACTCTAAACTACTTTTTCCCGCCTTTCAAAGGCAGCCAACTTCTAGTCAGTATTTTACATAAATATGTTTGCTAAAATGTTCAAACATGGAAATAAGGTTTTTTTCCCTTTTATTACATCTGAGAAAATGGAGTGACTTTTAGAGCTGCTGAGAACCAACAGCAAAAATATGCCAAGCATTTCTGAAAATTAGATCGCGCTGTAAGGAGTCTATATATATATATCCAGATAGGTCTAATCATAGGCAAATAAATCAGAAGATACAGACTTCAGTCAATAAAAGAGACCCTGAAAAGACAACAGTAAATCTAAATTTTTTTCAGAGCAAACACATTCATTCCCAACCCTTTCCTCCTTCAAGCAGTATGCAATGGCCTTGGATAAAATGGAAGATCTGAGTCTGCAAGAGACAGTGACCAGAGCTGAGACAGATGAAGTGGAAGGTGTTACCCTCACAAAAGCAATATGCAGCACGTGGGATCAAGTTTGGAACTTCAGAGCCAGACCTGACGATCTGCTCATTGCAACCTATGCAAAAGCAGGTTTGTGTGGATAGGAGACAGAATAGAAATGTCTGGGATACTTCCTACTGCTGGAATTGAAAATTAAGGTTTTCCATTGTGACTGAGATTTGTTCAATCCCAAAGCAGACTTACTTCCATTTTAAAAAGTGAAGCTCTGACAGCTGTGGCTGTAACTTCTGATTACTTTAAGGGAAATGAAAAAATAACAAACCATTACCGTCAAAGTTCAAATAGTCAAAACCTTATTAAATATACTTGGTATTTTCTTGGTTTTATATTAGGTACAGATATATCAATGACAACATTAGAACTTTTCAACTAATAAGTAATAATATAACAACACCTACATACAATCGTTGTTTACTAAGTAATAATAGAAACTGGATGAACTATTAATTTTACTGTGAGTTTAGTTAACGACTTGGTGCGAATCAGTACTGATTCTGGAAATGCCTTACTTGTAAATAAGAAAATATCAAATTAGCTCACTTAATAATGTCAGTCAATAAACTTCTCACCATCAATCTCGCTAACTCCGGTCTATTTAACCGGAGACAGGCCACGTAACTCGTATATTACCATTTCTCCTCTTGACCAGATCGGTTGTACTTGTTACAAAGAAAAACAATGAATAACAAGTATCCAGTATTAATCTTGGATGAATAAAAACATGTACAATTTAGGGGATACAGGAACAAATTCAGGAACATTTGATGATCATAAGAAATTAATGACTGGAGTTGACAAGAATTTTTTAATGTTTTTCAGTAGAAAAAAATGATTGTTACAGAAATTGATTATTTTCACGGGCTATTGAAAATCTTTTATTTATTTCAGGTACAATGAAAGCAAACAATGTTATTTTGATCAGCATGGATTAAAATACCTCAGCCTTTGAACTGAAAAGAAGTAAATAGCTAGGAATCAATTTGACATTACGTTACCTCTGCCAAAGCTGCATGGTTAGAGCATCTTGTTAAGGGCACAACCTCCTGCTCACATTGTTTCCCATACTATCCCCTAGTCTGTTGTCGAGCTGACCTGCCACAGCACCTCAGGGGAAGCGTGGCTAAGCCAGTGACCATGGCCATAAGGGAAAAGAGGTAGATGAGAGACACAATTCTGTAACTCTTACAAGATGCTGCAATAGCTCAGGCAGGTGAAGTTTAATGACATTTACTGGCCTTCATTAAAGCATTTCAAATGAAAATATTGGAAAAACTGCAATCTTTTTTTATTTCCAAACTATTTGAAACTTTTGATTCACTCAAAGTTCAAATATTTCAATTTTTCGTTCAGGATAAAAACCAACTTTGAAATAAGTGAATTTTTGTGAGGTATGAAAATAGGGAGGAAGGAATTTCACTCTTCCTTGAAAGCAATATAACCTCCAAATAGTAGTGAGTTTATCCCAGAACTTTTTTCAACACTGAAGTGTGGGTAAGGGTTTCTATCAACATAAAGAAAACCATCCTAAATGGAAAGCCCAAAATTTTGCTTTGAGAATTACCTCTACTTCTAATAAAGCATTTTTTTCCCCCACTGTCCTCTCAACTTGTCCATCATCTTCTGTGCTGTCCCTTCCTCCTTTAGTATGGAGCCCATCTTTTTGGCTTCCAGTTCCCTGAAAAAAGTGACTCTCAGGTATTCCTGGGGGAAAAATATAAACCCTAACATTTTCAGGTACCACGTGGACACAAGAGATAGTGGATATGATCCAACACAACGCAGATATTCAGAAGTGCAGACGCACTAGTACTTACAAACGGCATCCTTTCATTGAGTGGTTTCTCCCGAAGTCTGCACCTCAGAGTTACTCAGGTAAATATCATACAAATAGGTTTGTGTTTTAGACAAAATGAAACAACACTCTCCACCAGATAGCATCCAGTGCTCACGACACAGGTTTCTTAGGAAAGGTCTGATTTGCTTTATCACTGTACTATATGCCCTGTCAGGCATTAGGGCCCAGTTCGGTTTCCTTAACATAAACATCTAGCACTATTCAAGCCTAGGCAAGGCTGGCAGATATGACACAGGCCCTATTGAATAGCATGTTATTCTGGGACGGCATCTGAAAGCCATGTGTGACACTCCATGGTACTTAACACAGCAGTAGATTTGTGTAAAGTAGCAATATGTGGGCAACTGAATCTCAGTCTGAGATTATGCATCATATGGAACAGAAGGATGTTTTCCCAGAATGTGGATGCTGTTTTCAGTGGTTTTAATACTATTTTTAGTAACTTCTGTTAAATTCTAGAGTCTAGAGTCTTAAACATGCTGTCAGGCACTCAGGCAGTCCTGACTGTTCCGCAAACAGACCTTCCTACAAGACTCTTCCCTCCAGCAAAGATTCCCAACACGCACTAATCTTTAAGCCAGACTCTCTTTATATTTCACGTGAAACAGGTTCTCCGACTCTACAGTAGAAGTGCTACTTTTTCTCTTCTAAGTTAGACTGTGTTGATGCATACTGAGACAAAAGAATGCTTCTCTCTGACAGAGATTAAAAAAAAAAGGATGGGGAAAAGAAAGAAATAACATATATCTACATATCCCCACATATTCCTATGTATTTGCCTATATCCAAAATTACTCAAAATCCAATGTGCAAAGATTTTGAACTTCATCCATTCCTCTCGTGGTCTGTCTTCCTTCATAGGCCATCCAGAAAGTCTGGTCACACAGGCTATTCTTTTTGTATCCTAGGAAGAAATAACAGTCTCTTACCTGCAAAAAAAAAAAAAAAGAGAACACCAGAAGTTGTGAAGGAAAAAGATTGATCGGTTATATATAATTTGTTATGTATAATTATCCCTTGGGATGCAGATGAGGGAATTAGGCATAGGCCGAGGGAAGCAAAAATAATATATAAATCAGTGTTTCCCCTTTCCTCCTAGAAAACATAGGTAAAAATTCCTCTAGAAGCACTGAAGTTGCTTCTGGGTTCTTATGCAATGTTGTATATGTGTTACACTGCCATATAATTTATAGCAGGTGAAGGCGAATTGCAAGGTGAACTGCTACAAAGTCACAGTTAAAAACCCATATATGAGAACAGTAAGAAAAAAGTACTAGTAGAGGTTAGGTAACAGGTCATTCATTACAATGAAACGTTCCACAGGCCTGGAGTTAGCTGAAGCTATGCCTTCTCCACGAACACTAAAAACTCATCTCCCTGTGCAGCTGGTGCCCCCCTCCTTCTGGGAACAAAACTGTAAGGTAAGGTTGAGAGGTAGGACTCAATTCTGCTTTGCTTAGAAAAAAGGGACTGAAGATGGTTTCCAAAGTCTTTGTGAAACCTAGAGTTCTCCCCCACAATATTCCCTTTAATGAGCAACATGTACATGAAACTAAAGAAGTCATGACTAAGTTACCCTCATTGGATTTTAGAAAATGGCAGCTTCTAAGCAAAATCTCTTAAGCCTTTGTCACTCAGGCCCCAAGAGAAAACTCCTGGAGATGTTTAACATCTATACAGAAATGTGGAATTTCATATTTCTGTCTCTCTTGTTTCCATATCCAATAAAGATAATCTACATGGCAAGAAATGCCAAAGACAGCCTGGTGTCATACTACCATTTCCACAGAATGAATAACATAATGCCTGATCCAGGAACCTGGGAGGAGTTTGTGGAGAAATTCATGGCCGGAAAAGGTGATGAACAATAATTTGTGTAAGAGATTTTGTTTATTTCAAAAATGCTTGATGTTGATCTATTCATTCCAGCTACGGTTTGAAATCCAGTGCTGACAGAGTGATGGAAGTATATCTACTGAAAGTGTTTCAAGAATAATTTATCTTCATTTGGGGTTTTTTATTAGGACCTAAAAGATGGATGCTATCTTTACATCCCCATTATGAAAAATGTGCTACTCTTTATTCTATCATCACATCCGATTTTCAGGTTTAATCTCGTCTTTGTCTGAGCTTAAAAGCAACCTGCTTGGAAGCCTGTGGGGAAGGAGCAGTGGTTTGATAGCTATATGCTAGCCTGATATACAAGAAACCAGGATTTAACTCTGTGAAGTGTAAATTTGAGTTAAGGGAGTCTTTTTACGTAAATTTAACTGATTAAAAGTCAGGTATCAAGACAAAGCCAGTTATCTAGCTAGAGAAAGGCACCCCCAGAAGCTGATTCTTCCTTTCCCAAAAGAATTGCTCATATTCAAGAAAGAAAAACCTACTCAGGTGGAGGAGAGTCTGCAATTTCTGTCAGTAAAGCTTCCGTAGATGCTTAATGTTTTGCTATTACGTAGGCCTAGAGACACCACTAGGCCTACGTACCAGTCTCATGTGTAAGGGAGACTTTGGGTCTTGTGTTTGACCAGCTAGGATTGGGATACTTCTTGGAAAGAAACAGGCACTTGGGATAACATACCAAATATTTAAACTAGGTAGAATCATAGAATAATGCAGGCTGGAAGGGAACTTCAGTGGTTTTCTGGTGCATCTCCTGCCCAAAGCAGGGCCAACTAAGAGTGGTCTTGTCCAGTTAATCAGATAAATTACCCTCTAGAAATGTCTATTTCTCTCCACGGATGGAGAGAATGCAACACAGATGTTTCACTCGATGTAAGTATCTGCATTTGTTGCCATCTGAAGTCAGACGTGAATGCTGCTCTGAACACCCATACGCCTGAGAGATCATTAATGTGAATGCCGGGGTGTACAGCACAGAGCACAGTAGTCGTGGCCACAGTGATTCAGAAGCAGCTGGGAAGTGCTCAGACACTGGTCATGGGGGGAACAGTTTCCAAGGATCTCTAAGACAAACTGAGCATTTACAGTTGCTGACGATATTCTTCCTTTTTCAGTGCTCTGGGGATCCTGGTATGACCACGTAAAAGGATGGTGGAAAGCAAAAGATAAGAACCGTATTCTCTACCTCTTCTATGAAGATATGAAGGAGGTAAAAGGCTGAATGTATGTTTATAGAGCTCTGTTTGAAATCTAGAGAGCCAGTAGCTATTACATATATTCAGCACTTTCCTATTACAATGCCAGCCGTAATCAGTAAGTCTTTCAATAGTCTGATCTTTTCATTCTGACAACAATCACAACTTGAACATTATGTTTGATTTCTTTGCTTTTCCTGGTTCTTTTTTTTCCCCTGGTTCTTCCCCTGGTACTTCATTGTCTCCACAGAATCCAAAGCATGAAATTCAAAAGATTATGAAGTTTCTGGAAAAGGATGTGGAAAAGGAGGTTCTAAGCCAGATACTCCATCACACCACGTTTGAGAAAATGAAGGAAAATCCCATGGCAAACTACACTAAAGATTTTGAGGGAATAATGGATCACTCCGTTTCCCCATTCATGAGGAAAGGTGCTGAGGTTTATTATTTGGCATCAGCTCTGCCTTCCCGGTTTTCAGTTTGTTCTGAAATGATCCTTCATTTGAAGTACAAGTATGTAGTGAGTTATGGTTAATGGGCTTCAAGAAATGCCAACAAATTAATCTCTTCGTTTTGCTTTGCTGTTCTGCAGGGGTCGTTGGAGACTGGAAGAATTATTTCACTGTGGCACAGAATGAGAAATTTGATGAAGATTATAAGAAGAAAATGTCTGACACCTCTCTTGTTTTTCGCACAGAACTCTGAGCATGAGCAACGGGAATTACTCTTTGTGATCCATCAGCCTTTCCTTTTTATACATTTTGCTTTTGCTTCTCAAAATATCCGTGTTCACAAGATTCCAATAGCTTTCTTTCACATGCCACTGATTTGTCATTATCATACGATTGCTGAATTAAACATTAACCTCCAAATTATGTGGAGGTTTAGATTGGTCTCCCCGAAGAAAATAATCCCCTCTTTGGATACCTCTCAATCATCTCTCCTATGGTAACTTTCAGCATTAACAAAAATATTTCAGAAGTGCCTTGAGTTTTTGTCATTGTAAAACTGCAATTTGCATTGTTGGCATTTTCAAATCGACCTCTAACAGAAACTAAGGATCAATAGGAAAAAAAAAGTTGTTTAAGGAATGAAAAACATGTTGTCAACATTTTATGTTATTTCCATGCTGTATAAGCATTAATCAATAAACACTAAACAATTTTTAAAGATGGTAAACTATAAACAAAGCAACAGAAGAGCACCAAATAGAATCATTTTCTTTTATTGTCTTGTTTTAGCTGGACATCATAAATGCCATTGAGACGAAAGCAGGATTTCCAAAAATATCAAGTACCCATTATGTCCATTGATAAAACATTAGTAACGGGCTACCTAGAGGCATTTAGCTACAGTCTAGCTGTGGAGGTCATAGCTCCTACTGCACTAAGACTAGAAGCTTTCTTCACTTTTGCCCTTTGAAATGGATAGCATACTACCCCGCTAAGGTTTGGAAAATTCTGAAGGCTGGTATGGAGGAGGACAGGAGTCAGCGCTGCATATAGTCGCTCCCTTTCCTTCACCTTTTTACAAGTGTTCTTCAGATGCCTCATGCTATTACCTTCCCTTTTTCTTCACTCTTCCCCTATTGACCTAACATACAAAGCTCCCAGTGAGGACTTTCTGTTACAATAGCACCTGGCCAGGTCTGCTCTAGCATTAGCATTAGTCACAGCCATTCTTCAAACTGTAGAAAATGAATTGAAACAATGCATAGCCCATTTAATTACAGACAACTGTTTACCAATCCAGTTTTGTTTTTAAAGTGCTGTCATTCAGCTTGGCCCAAAAAAGCTCCCCAAGAGCTTCTCTCTCTCTGAGTTTACTCGCTGAATGTCAGAGGGAAAATAACAGAAACTGCAGCATCTGCTGGAAAACGCTATCTTAGTCTTGACAGTCAGCTTAACACAAAAAAATGTTTGCTGGCGGTGTTTTTTCTTTGGCCATTAGAGGGTTTCAGAGATCTGGATGCACAACCCATTTCAGGCTAGAGATTTAATCCAAATACCTAAACTGAATGCAGTTCTCTAAAGGGCACCAATGTCTCGCATTAAGTTTGGAAACAATCGAAAGGGAAGGCTTGCTATTAAAAGTAGAAGTTATGCTGTCAGTTCCTGGCCCATTAAGTGTTCCCCAAAAGCCCAGGAAACACTGGAACTGGAACCAGGCATTTGCCACACTGGTGTAAACATGGGCATTTGAATGGCTTTGAATCAACGGTGGTTCTTGCCCGTGTATAAAGTATGTCTCAGTAAACAGAATCAGCTCAGTTTGTCATTCGAATTCCGCAGTGTCATAAGAACAGGGAAAACATGCTTAATTCAGTATCTAGGTGACGTTTTATAAGCTGTGCTGTACCAAAGGTTACGTAGATGACCTGTTTGTTCCTCCTTAGAAGTCTCTGAATCTATCAAAAGTGCAAAAGTGCTGTGGGCGGCTGCAGTCCCATCTGAGCGGGAGCCGCACAGCCACACCAAGCATAGAGGTATTATATAAGAGGCTCATGTCACATTGGCTAAGCCACCTTTGCTCTCCCCTCCTTAGGCAAATCTTCACCTTTACCCACCCGGAGTTCAGCTGCTCTGAGCAATAGATAAAGAGTAACACAGGTCAGGGAGGGCAGTCTGGGAAAAAAGGGGAGTAAAAAACCACTAGATGTGTGGTTATATAAAAATAGGATTTCCTTGTCTTAGTGATCTTATCCTTATACATATTCAAACATAGAAATGTTAACCCTTATGACAAAACACAGCTGGCAGGGGGTGGGAAAGGAGCGGAGGATGTGTTTCTATCTTTATGCTTTCTGGAGCCAGCATGACTAAGAGAGATGAAGCTGTGGATTCAGTCATAATTTGTAATATGACAGTAATTGCAGCACTGTAAACCTTCAGGGAACAATTAATTGTTCCAGGGCATCTAGTTGTTGTCTGTGAGAATGACTGGATCTGGAGTTACTGGGAGTTACTGGGAAAGTTTGGGAAAAGGGGTTAACAGGCTTAAGCATCCTCCAGTGGGGCCTAGAGACTAGTATGCTTTGGTGCCTAGTTATGACAGTATGCCAATGAACAGAGATGTGTCTATGCTTCTGGGTGACTGAAAGGCGCCCACATCTAGAGTGCCTTTAACTTACCTATCTTTTATGTTTGTCAGTTGTCATGTACAGAGGAGCTTTAAATGACGTGTGATAACAGAGATTATTTACTAATATTAACATAAATCTGTGAGAGGTGTAATTTACTTTGACATAAGATACTTTAAATCAATGAGCGTCTGCAGAAGGAGACTGTACTTGTTTAACTAAAGTATTTCTAATCAATTTAAACTATCGTCAAGTTTCCTGTGCATACAAGAGACTGTGTTTACTATGATGATAAAACTCTGCACAGAGCTGTAGCTAGAGATATGCGCTGAATATACTCTGATGCATTATTTTCATCCACTTACCTAGAGGCACGATTTTATTAATTTGCTTACACAGGTGCAACTTTTTTATGTCAGTTTAAAATGGCCTTGTATCAGTTCAGCTGATATAACCCCACAGCAGCTATTTTAATGCTGTTTGTCTCTCTCTCTTCCTTTGTAAAAAAAAGTAGTTTTGATAGCTGAAACACCTTTTCAATCATCTCCAGCAAATGTCTGAGAATCAATGTGGATTAATACCTATTAACTATTCACATGGGCCTGCTTTATAGCTATGCAATAACAATTACCAAAACAAATCCTCTCAATGGAGTGGAAGAAGATTCTTGCTTTGATACAGGGTTTTTAACAGGAACTGCTGATAAGTAACACTTAATTCTAGGGTAGTCGCAAGCTTTCTTTAGCTCTGCTCTCTATAGGGACTAGATGAGTCATTCTACCACTACATGGAGTGCAACCTTTCATGAAGCTGACTGGAATGAGCATCAAGCTTTAAAAAAATTAACAAAAGTGGCAGAGAAGGGGGTTATTCCATCTTTTTACTTAGTATTCCAAGACAGAAAAAACACTGGTTTAAATTCCACTAATTTTACTGTAGATGATCCGCCTCATGCATGGATTGAAAGTTATTATTTACCCAGTCAGCAAATAGACCACAGACAGAAGGTAGGGTTTTTTCCCACTCGTCCTATCCATGTATATGATAAACAAAACATATGATTTATATAATGATTTGACTTATGTCAACATGTTCAGAAAGAGCCTTATCTTTACAACAAGGTTAATTATTAATCTGGGAATATTCCAGAGGTGGAACTATATTTTAAGCCTGGACTGAAGCTCCCATTTCCTTTGTGACCTTGCTGAGTGATGCAAGCCCTGTTCTAATGCGGGCTGTAGGTGAGGCTAGAGGCACACCAAGAAAGAAACTTTAAGCGCTCCATACTCATAGGATGCAACCAAACTGTACTGCCAGACCTAAATCCCTGGGCTTTGGCTGCATAACAAGGCAGCCTGTTCAAGGTCTGCCTGGCTCCAAACCAAGTGCAGGCTTAGGCACTGTGTGGGTGGACCAGGAATGCTGGCATGCGGCAGTGTCCCATGGTTAATGTTGAAGAGGCAAATTAGTCATGGTTCATTTTCTGGAAGGGCTTCAGCATCACCTGCTGCAAGAGCAGTTGGTATCTAAGAGCAGTGTGAGCTCAGCCTGCTGTTAGGTGACGTGTGAGGGCTCACAGCTGAATTATGGGCATCTACCAGATGGTCATGAAGACAGAGAGCTTATGTCAACGTCAAGTGACTGGCTCCTGCCCTGGAAGAGGCAGTATAGATACAGGCAGAATCTCAGGCTAGACCCTTAAAAAGGAAGGCAGTTGAATTTAGAAAACTTATTAAAGTTGGGCCTCTTCATTCCTAGTAACCTGTTTGTTGTACCGATAACCCACACTGGTCTATATTTGCTACCTTTTCTGCAAACCGGATTTAAAAGTGCTTTTGTGTTCAGTCAACAATGGAATAGTCTTTAACAGCCAGACCCAACCCTAAGTGCTCAAACAAAATGCTAGTTTCCTTTTCCCAGCTAAAGTTAATCTTTGAATACACTTGGTAGGCTCTGCAGATTAGTAGTAGAAGTAGCAGTAAACTTCTTAACCCTCAGTGTCCTGTTGCAATTTAAGACCAGAATTAGAGACTGTATAAACAATTTCTTCTTTAATATATAACCATATCCTTCACACAGAAAGCACTATACAGATAAATACAGTGGGCAGTATTACCCCTGCATCTTACTTACTCATACAAACATTCATGCTAGCACCCTCTGCTCCCTTTTGCACTCCTTAAATTTTTCACTATACCTACAGCCTGTTCAGGTCCACTACAGGAAATACCCTAGTGAACCCAAGTCTACAAAATGATAATAGTCAGCCAAAGAATTTAAGGTTCATTTTCATGGGGAAGAGAGAGTATTTTAAGTTTCCAAACAGGGAGTCAATAAGAACAGTTACAATGATGTAAATTCATACTTTGCCTTCCTTTACACTAATTTTGCATACAGAAAAGCCATAAAAGCTGCTTGAAGCAAGGATGCTAACTGACCCAGCATGGTTCACAGACAAAAGAGTTTGTTATCTTCAGAAGCTGGCAGAAAGTCAGATTCTACAGTTGCAATTGTTTAACGTATTAGCTCTGTAAGCTGAAAATGCATTTGCTGCTCGCAAAATTATAGTAATTTTCTCATTCTGTGCCATTCAGAACACTCCTGCAGGTCTAATAATTGCCATGATAGTGAACACGCACTTGTATACCACATCAGTGGGATGACTAATCCCAGACTTGTGGAACTTGGTCTTTCAGTGAAAGCAGAATTTAAAGTTTGCTATGCTCTGCCACAATGCATCTTGGCAACCTTGCTTTACATAAGCAATGCTATTTAAAAAGATGAGTAATTACCTTTTACAAAGATAATAAAATTAGAGAATACATGGAACATATATTCTTCTTTTTCTGATTTATCTTGTCCCAAATTAGCTGCATGCAATATATATCATCTTCCTAGCTCCTTCTGGACTGATAAGACATACTATTCATAATCTGCTTAAGAAAATGATGTAAAACAATTGCAAGTATGAATCAACATTTTTTCCCATGAAATCTGGATCAACTTGTACTTTATTGTAATAAATCGAAATAATCAACAGTCAAAATCTTCAATCTTTTTTCTTCTGGCTATTCTAGAAACAACCTTTTATTTCCCCTAATCAGGATGCTTTGCAATTGC